TTGATTGGCTGATTCATTGACTGATTTTTGAGACAGGGTCTTGCTATGTAGTTCAGGCTGGCCTTAAACTCACTGTGATCCTCTTACCTCAGCCTCCTGAGTACTAGGATTGCAGGTATGAGCCACCATGCCCAGCCGGATTTTCTTTAGTAGTCTAAAAATGCTCCACTGCACTAGCTAAGTATGTTAAAACCAGTTCTATTACATCAAAGCTGGGCCAAATCTTCATGACTTGTCCAACAGATGTCCTTTGCAGCTGGAGAAATTTGAAAAAAATATATAAGCCAAGGGTACTTTCCAACAGGGCAAGGTGAAAATATCTTCTCATACTAAAGCTGCCAGCTTCCCAAGTAGAAAATGTTGTTGGTTTAAAAAAAAAGTTACAGTGAGATCAAGAAAAACTTAAATTGGCTAGGCATGCTTTAAAATGGCCCATAAGTTGAAAAGTCCTTCTTCTTCCTCTATCTGGTAATTGGGAGACAGAAGCAAGCTATGTTCACTCAACATGTGCCTAAAGGATGGCAAAGTGGTGGATTCTCACAGGGGTTCCTTGGGCCCCACATCAGCATCAATGGGGAACTTGCTAGAAATGCAAGTTTCCAGCCTCTTTGAGGGGTGGGAGTTGAAGCGGGGTGGACAGAGGACAAGCAGCAATCTTTTTAAAAAACCTCCAAGTGATTCTAATGCCTGGTAGTTTAAGAATCCCTGATACAGACAATACCACCTAGGTCTTTGGGTGCAGAATAATTAGGGTCTGCCCATGATGAATGGGGTGATCTTGTGCAAGTTACTTAACCTTTGTAGGGTTCAATTTCCTCATCTATAAAATGAAGATAATAATACTTCCTAACTCGCTGGTACACTGGCAATAAGATACTACAGAAAAGAGTTTGGCAAGATGCTTGACACATACTGGATACTCATTAAATGTGAATGATTATTTCTCTACTATGGAGGTAATCACAGATCTGCTCATTTATTTATACAATTAACATTTATTGACCATTTACCACATACTGCACATTGAAATCACCCAGAGAATTCAGATGTAATCCCACTGCCTGGGCCCTAGTTCATTCCAAAACATAATGAATCAAACTTGCAAAGAAAAACTACAGCCAGTGCCCAGAGTCCAGTAACTGGATGATCCTAGAGAAGCTTTTCGAGAGGCAGCTCTTCCTGACAGGCTTCTTTGGTGCCCACTTCTTTGCTTTCTGATCTCTTAGGAGGCATAAATCATGGCTTTCTCACCCCAACTGCATGGTTCCATGTCTGACAAAGAATAGAAGGCAAAGCTTATCAATGCAACAAGAAGTGAGCTGTATTTAGACAACAGGGCCCTCCAACTCCTGGAGCACAGTGTGACAAGACCGAAGAGTAATTACACAGCCATCATGTCCATAACAAACTCTCATAAACATATGTTTCCCTGAACACATCGCTCAAGCCTCAAGGCTAGACATAATGGTTTTGCACACCAGTTTCCAAGGGGAGGAGTGACATAAGCAAAGCTTTTAAATTAATTAAAAGAGACACTCAGGCACACTTCATGCCATTCTTTAATCTCCATTCTTCTGTGATAAACATGGAATGACAGGAGCAAGCCCGGGCTAACAAGCTGGAGGCAGGGCCTATGGAGACTCACCAAACAGCCCTCAGAAACCGCAGCAGGACCCAGGGCCCAGGGCACTGGAAAAGGAAGAAGAAAATGAATACCCTGGCTCCGCTGAGTCACTAATGGGTCATTGAAGACTGCTCAAACCAGTAGCTTTCCTTTCTGTGACTAGCAGCCACTAAGACAACAGATGAAAACAGGCAACAACGTATCTTACAAGTAAGCAGTCAAAGAAAAATGATAACATTTATTGAAGGGATTCTGGTGTCAATCACTGTGCTAGAGGTTTCTTATGCAAAATGTCATTACGTTCTGACAACCAGCCTCAAGCATCCTTGTGTCTTAACACACATAACCTGATGTACCCTTTTCACACAGAATCCATGCTGGCTCCAAGGACTAATAGAAAATGACAGGGGTAATTACCTCTCTGTGACTTATCTGAGGTCAGATCATAAGAGACAGTACCACTTCCCACACAACTTCTCGGGTCACATGCCAGCACCTTGTTAAGTGGACGCTCGAGCAACACGGTGATGAGGCCCACACAGACAGCAAAGGAAAGCCAGTCAAGGCCATCTTGCAAGTGGGTGTTCCGATTCTCACCTTGCGCTGAAGTCTTTCAGCCAAAGTGTCAGATATCACAGACCACAGAAAAGCCATCAACCACTGGGTTTCTTTGGAATTCTTGAACAGAGTCTACTAGATAAGTTGTTTCAAAACTTAAATTCAAGCCAGGCATAGTGTCACACGTCAGTAATACCAGCACTCTGGGAGGCTGAGGCAGGAGCATCACAAGTTTGAGTCAACAAGAGCCTATCTCAAAATAAAAAGTACTAGAGATATAGTTCAGTACAAAGGTCCTAGCTTCAGTCCCCAGTACTGAAACAAAAATTTTCCCCATATGATGTTTTATTACATAGAAATAGAGGACTAATACTGATACTGAATCTAGGTTTACAGATTTGGGGGCCCCAGCTCTAGCTCCGTCATGCTATTTCAGACAGACAAACAAAAGGCATGTAACCTAGTTTCCATCCCTTTTGTTAGGGGAAAAGCAAACATTCAATGGACTCTTAAGTACCTCGGTTGCCCAAAGATACTATGTGCACTCCCCTTTGTAACTTAGTCATCTCAGCAGCAGTAGAGGTTCCTGATGGGCAGGACCAGTGTCTTCCAGATAGTGCTATAAGTAGCATAAAGGCAGGGATAGGAAACGTGGACTCTGGCATCAACAAGGCTGCTTTAGCATCTCTGCCATACTGCTTCCAGCCTGGGTAACCAACACACACTCTTGTTTGCATTGAACTAGAAATATATTCAAAGTACTCAGTACACTGTCTAAAGCAAGTGTTCGATAAATGTTACCTATTCGAATTATTATTATCAAATACATGTTGAAAACCTTCCAACATTTTAAAGGACCCAAGCAAAGCTGAGTTCCAATGACCAAGTGATTCTTTAGGAGGCAAGCACTGAAACCTTCTATCACAAGGCTGGCCACGGTGCCAACTCTGTAACCGTGGTCCCTAGGGTCCAGCCTGCCCTGGTAGCACTGTAAGAGTATGAGGCAAAGCTGTCACAGATTTCCACCATCCAGTGGGGCATGCACAGACGGCAACTTGCATTTTTCCTATGAGAAGAAATGCAAGGCAAAGGAGGTCTCCCCTGTCCTGGTCATATAAACAAGGCTTTAGAGACTCTTTTGCCCCCATCCTACTTTTTAATCCCATTATAGTCGTATCGTTTTGTCAGTGCAGACAAAGCTGCTTAGCTCCTGCCAACATTTGCTCCAATGCCTTCCCTTGTGGCACACTCCTTCTTGGCTTTAATAAGCTGTCATATGTCTTATTGTCCCCGTAGGTGAATTCTGCTTAAAGATGTCTTGATTCCCATCTTGCCTTGTGCTTAGCTTTGTCTCCTTTCTTTTCCCCCTTAAGTATGATACAACTTTCTGTGAAAAATTGTGTTCAGAGTCTAAAATATTTCCACAACCTCCTACTTCTAGGTAAAACCAAGAAAGAAGGAACTTGGAGGCCCAAGTTCCCGCGATAGCCCACCTCCAAAGAAGGGGTGGAGTTAGGTTATTGGGCTGAGTTAAGAAGGATCAAAATGCAGAGCCTGTCCTCCTCCATCTAGTTGATTTGGAAACAGTATTAATAACTAGATTAAGAAGTGCCAAGTGATGGATGCCATGAGTAACATGGATGCAGGCCTGGGTGCCAGAAAGGGGAGACCTGCCAGAGCACTCAGGGTGGGGTGTGGTCCCTGAAGAACAAGAGAACCTTGATCCAAAGAGGCTGATAGGGGAAGAGGAAGTGCCCAGACAGCAGAAATGAAAGGCAAGGGACCAGGGAAGGATAGGGCAGATAGGAGACCTGTGATAGATTCATGTCCTTTTATCAGTTTGGAGACATTTGGTAGCAAATCAGGAATTGAGATTACAAAAAACAGTATCATAGTAGAAAATACTCTGGCAATGTTCAGCAATAAAATTTTTCAACAGACAAAAAGGAAAGAACTTTTTGTAGATCAAATTGCTAAAATCTGAATTTCATGACTGATAAGTAGTATGCCAGGCACTGATGGCAAATGCCTATAATCCCAGCTACTTAGGAAATTGAGGCAGGAGGATCACAAGTTCAAGGCCAACTTTGGCAACTTTGCAAGCCCCTGTCTCAAAATAAAAGATAAAAGGGGCTGGGGACATAGTTTAGCAATCTTTGGTCTCAATCCTCAATACCAAAAAAGAATGTAAAAGTAATATATTTTAATCCATTTCTCAGTAACCAGAAAGCTAAAACCTAAGACTAGAGAAGTACATTTTCAAAGGAGGCAATGCCAAGGGAACTCGCGGGTCACTCTTCCCAACATTATTAAGCAAGTCTCTCTCACTGAAAAATCTTTTGCTTGTGCCACTGAACTAATTCTTAATGCAATACTTTCTACTTTTTCCTTTGTCCATTTTTAAAAAACTAATGCCCATAGACAGATGACACACATTAGATAACACAGTCAGGAGTCTGTGACTTGTCAGCAGAGACATTGTAATAATCCCCAAGCACAATCATAAGCTAGTCTTTGGGTGTTCATACCTTTGTATAGTTTTCTATCCTCTACCATATAAAGTATGTTCTCTCAAACAGAATTTCTGTAAATTGGAGCTCCCTTCTCATTCTCCTTACAGCCAAAGAGCTAAATTTAAAAAAAAAAATCCAGAAAACTTCATAGGCCATTAGCTAACCTTATATGGTGAATTTTGGGTGAGAAACACATCTCAAGTCACTATTTCTATGCCTCCCAGGGCCAACAGATTTTCCCCACACAACACAAGACAGGATGACACAAGACAGGATGGCATGGCTCCAGCTCAGGCGTAGCTTACCATGTACCACATGCTGGGCCACTTGGGATCATTGAAGTAGGTAGACTGGGCACGACTGAGGTCATAATCCCTCTTTGTCCGTTTCTTTACCACTTGCTGTTGGATCCATTCCACCTGCCAAGGGGATGAACATTTGGTGAGTGTTCAAGTTCCATCAGAGCGAACACAACAGAAATGACAGTCTATAGCATTTCCCATTTTGAGTCAATGTGAGTTAAGTCACAGGCATCACTGTGGCAACTAAAATCCCTCGGTCTGGAAGCTCAGCGATTTTCTAGAAACCCAGTACTTTTTCATTTTCAATGCAAGCAAGTAGTTTAGTCTTTTGGAGACAGACAATTTGTCTCTCTCAACAACAAGCTAGGCTTTTAGGTTTTTCAGAGAGCATGACAATGTTAATTTTTAAGGTGTCTTGCAATTCTTTATACCAAGGGTTGGCAAACTTTTCTGTAAAGGTTGAAATACTAAGTATGTCAGGCTTTACAAGTCATATGGTTCCTGATGTAGTAGTTCATTCTACCATTGTAGTACAGTACCACAGGTAGCACATACACGAATTGTTATGATTGGATTCTAGGAAAATTTTATATACAAAACCAGCCTAGATTTGACCCATGTATCCCTGATTTCTATGCATCAAATTTTTTAATGTTTTGGGATCATATATCAAATTTAAAAAAAAACATCTTGGGATTAAATGCTTTAGTAGCACACACTTTCAAAAATGGCTTTCTATACCAGTGTGGTGGGGAAGCACTGCTCGGGCAATCGGAAACCTAAAGCCTTCATCCTATCTCTGGCACAAAATTGTAGAAGGCACTCAATTTCCTGAGCCACAAGCTACTTGCCAGCTCTAAAACTCAAGCCTGCCACCTTTGAGAAAAGTTCTAACATTTAGCTACGACCTGTTCCTAAACCAACTGACTGGGAACCTCAAGTTTCATACAGGATCTGTACCCTCGTAGTAAGACAATATGTGGGGTTATTTTATTGTAAAGGTCACCATTACGGAAACATAAAAATCAGTATGTTCTAGTCTCAAGGGATTGTCTCAAATGCAGTATCAGCCCTGGTGGAATTCTTTAATTTGTTCCTAAATATTCCTTTGACTGATTTCTTCTAGTGATAGCAAATTTAGTCACAATGTCATGAGATGTTTTATTCAGCCATTTGCCCTACTTTCTACAAAGGAATTAAAACTTGTGTTGGGGGAGACTTTGTAGTCCAATGCTATATAATTCCATACAGACAAATTCCAGTACCTCCTGACTAACCATTTCAAGGACTGGGAGACGCAAAGGAATACCAAAGTACCTGTTTCAATAAAAGTACACACTCAAGTATGGGAATGTATGTACATTATCTATTTCTGAGAAACATTTTAACCTCCACATGTCAAATCATCTTCTAAAAAGCGACTTTTACCCCTTATTTATTCATTCACTAAGCATTAAGTGTCAGGGACTGTGCTGGACATACAGAGATGAGTAAGAATTGCCTTTCATTTTGAAGGACTTACATTTTACCAGGGAAATTTTGCAAGTATTTCTCCATTCTCCACTTCATAAAAATATAATTATCTCCTTCAGTAACATCTGCCACAAGCCCCTCGAGTCTATTATTTAAGCCATTTATAATAAATTTGACTATGCACTTTATATTTGCAGTCCCATCTGCAAGTCCACCCCAATAAAGTTGAACTAGCTCGTATCTGCATGTTTGATCAAAGAAGTCTGCAGATCTGTTTAGGCAGAACTCTTCTCAAAACTGATCTTACACTGCCAGCGTCCTTTCCCAAAAGAGGCTTCACAAATCCCAAACTGCCAACACATATGTGCGCACAGACCAGACAGGATCAAGGCTACCTAGGCGTGGACTACACAAATAAACTCCTCTAGCAATCAGGACAGTCTACAGCGGGGTGGGAGTGGATAATTGTTCCTTCAATGACACCATGAGCATACATGCCTCCCTGGACTTATACACAAATAGACAAATGGGATAAGTGTAAGAGAAAACCAAGTGACAGCCATTTTCCTAGACAAACTGTAGGTTCTAAAATAGAACAAAATCTCTTAGCAAAGAGCATCTCTTCTGTAATTTTACCAAACACAGAGGCTTAGTTATAGGGCTTGGTGACTCAAAGGTGGCACAGCCACTTGGCATCTAGACTTGACTGCACATCACTCTGTCTGATCACAGAGCTGCAGTACTCAAAAAAAGTCCAGGAGGATTTTTTTTAGTGTCAAATACTATGTATTTTTCGTTGGTGCTGTATGAGTATGAGTCTATAGCCTTATATTTTTTTGGAGAACAAGAAAAGCACCTTTTGGATCAGAAGCTTTCCGTGACTGGAGAGACCATACTTATATTTTTAAACTATTGTCCATATGTCTACTCTTGAGTTCTTTAAGCAAAACTCAGAGCTAATGAATTATGCAGATTTTATTTCTTGCCAAAAAGCCCACTGCAATGAAACAACACTTAAAAATCATTTTCATACACTATGATCTGCCCCGGAGAAGAGAAAAATCCTGTGCTTTCCCTCACTGGCTTAACTTCTTTCTGAAAGTCCATTCTGTACGCAGTGAGGAACTGCCACAAATCCAGAGTGTGAAATGACGGGACCCATGAAATCATGTCTGTCCGCACTTGTCACCAGGTTCATGCATAGGACCCTCCTGTCATCGCAGAGCTCACCTCCTTTGCTGTCCAAATGAACCCTGAGCCTTTGCTCCTTAGCAACCCTTGTGTAAAGATGTCCTCTTTTGTCAGATCTCACGCCAAGCAAAACACATTAACGGCAATTAAGAGAAGCCTGCCCCAAAATCTCAGCTGAATACGTGTCTCATTATTTTGGAATTTACCAACTTTCTAATGCTATACAAAGGGCAGCCAATTTTATCAACAACAGGAGAAAAACAAGATGTTATCATATAAATATTGACTATATAAGTTATTGCATAAATATAAATGGGAAACAAATATGGAGTTAGTCTTAAAATGTACCCTTTGCTAAGAAGCAAATCAGTTCTTTTATAAAATATATTAAAGAAAATAATTAGAACATATACTGGTAGCAAATGTCTACAGATATAACAATGAAATGAAATGAAATGAAAGGTAAAGAAATTGACCCAAAACATATAAAAAGATGGCATATAAAATAGTGCTGTCCTAAATCAGTAAGAAAAGAAACAAATTACTTAATGAACTATGTCACTGGAACAACCATCAACAGGAAAAAGAAAGTTGAAGACATTCTCATGCATTAGATCAGGATCAATTTCAAATGAGTCAAATATTTAAATGTAAGGGGTGTGGCAAAAAAACAAGATATCATGTACAGGTATAAATACCCTATGATGAATGCCATCATTATGTATATCTAAAACATACCAATAAACTTAATTAGTTAAAAATAAATAAGTGTAAAGGCCTGGTGTGGTCGTATATGCCGATAATGCCAGCAGTCTAGAAAGCTGAGGCAGGAGGACCTCAAGCTTGAGCCCAGCCGGAGCAACTTAGCAACTGAATAAGACCTCGTCTGAAAATAAAAAATAGAAAAGGGCTGGAGATATAGCTCAGTGCAAAGGCCCAGCATTCAACCACCAATACCACAAAAATAAATAAATAAAACCATAAAAATACCATGAGAATTATGGTTCCTATATTTTTAAAAAACAATTTAAGAGAAGATGCTTATCAAAATAGAATATGAATTTACAAGTTGATTTAGCAAAATATATAAATTTATCTACCTAAGGAAATCAAAACTGAGGTAAAAGACAAAGTGAGTAAAGTTCATAGCTCATTCCACAGACAAAAGGCTATCACTCTATTATATAAGTGGTTTCTATAATCAGTAAGTGAATCATTCATTGGGAAAATGGGCAACATACAGAAGTATAAAAATGTCTGGAAAGGTAAACCAAGTTTAAACTTATAAAAATGTGTTTTTTATGTGCACATTGTTAGGGTTTAAGTATGGTGTGTGCCCCGGCCCCCGGAGCTGGGGTCTCCAAGGTGCAAGCAAGAGGAGGATCCTAGGGCAATGGGGGATACCTAGAAGGGGACTGTGAGACCTGAGAGCGCTCCCTGCTCTGTCTGCGCTTTCTCTGAACTTGTTGCTACTTGTGTTCCCACCATACGTCACCACCTGACACCACACCAGAGCCAGGGCCCACCCTACTCCAGCCTACATGTATATCACTGACTTTGAACCTCCAAAACGGAGACATAGAAACCCATTTTTCCTTACAAGCAGCCTATGTTGGATGGTTCCTTATATTGACAAAAACCTGACATACATTAAAGACAAAAGCAAACTAAAAATAAACTAAGATGGTTAATAATATTGTTAGTGATGGCCTCAGAAAACAGCTGTACTAATGGTGAGAGGAATGTAAATTTGTACAACTCTATGGAGTACAAATCAGGTAAAATCTACAAAATGAGAAAGTGGGCAATTCTACTTTTAGGAGCACATCCTACATATTTATTGACACATGTAACTGGTTTTGGAGCACTTAGTCATCTTAGATTTGTCATCAGTCACCTAGGCAATCTTTGTGTGCCTCTTTTTTGCTGTAAAATGAAGGAAAGCAGATTGTCTTGTCTTTTTGTTCTGCTTTGAAATTTTACCTACATAATTTTATTATCCAGTTTGACCAGGAATAAAGATAATATATAATACAATAGAGTGCAATGCAACCATAAAAGAGAATGAAATGGATTTTATGAATTGACTACATCATACCATATGTGTGATATAGTTTAAAGGAAAAAAAATAATGATACCAACAGTCAATTAATGACACTCCAATTTTTACATCTCTCTGAAGTGATTAAATAATAAAACCTGGTAACACTGTTACTTTATGAAGGAAGAGTAGGTATCTTGGAAATATGGGTAAGAGGCAAACCTTTATCACATCCCCTTTCGATCTTGGGTTTTTTGTTTCATTGTTTTCTCTTTTTGAGACAGGGTCTCATTCTGGACTTGTCTGGAACTTAATATGTAGTTCAGACTGGCCTCGAACTCACCAGATTACTACAGCATGTGCTACCAGGTCCAGCTTGACATGGTACCATTTTTGTTGTTAGGTGAGATC